GTCCATATAGTTAATTCACCTACAGTAATAATAATGCACGCATATATTAAACATATGCGTTTCTTGTAATATTTAGGGTAGTTTTGTGTGGTTGCTTCCTACCATTTTCGTAAATTTAATCTACGTCATATGTATTATATCTACTACTAATGATATTTTTGCAATACCTTTTCTCCATTATCTACTATTGCTTTTATCTTTTTATACCTACTATCAGTGATATTTTGGCAAGAGCCTTTCAACTTCTTTACACTCTCAAGTATGTTTCTTATATCTACAACCACTGATGACTTTGCAAAAGCCTTATTTCCTCTATTTACTTTTACTTATATTTCTTGTATCTACTACCACTGCTGATCTTGTAAAAAACACATTTCATATATTAGTAATTATATTTTTGCAAACGAGACTGGAAAAAAACGCGAAAATATTACGAGGAACTGCAAAAAAAAAATATGTCCAAACCAATTTATTTGTCTCTGTATTTGTTTGACGATAGTTTGAGAAACATTTTGTTATCTATTGTGCTTTGTGGCAAAATGTGGCTATTCTTATTTTTCCTTTTCTTCTTTTTCTTTGCTCCCTCTTCTGAAACTGAGCCCAAAGTTTCACAAATGTTAGCTTTCTTTTCCATTTCTATTGTTACGTGTTTCGTTGTTTCTGTTGTATTATATAACCCATATTTTTGTAATAATCGATGACCCTTTTAATTACAATCTATAACCCAAATTCTCATACTATATAACCCATGCTAACCGTAACTAAGTGATCTCACAAAAAATATGGATGCGAAAATACACATTGAAAGATTTACTTAACATGATTAAAGGATTAATATACTTTGAAAGAATGCGTAACATTAATGGGTAAATTTGGAAATGCAACCCTACACCGTGTTTGGGTGAACATAATAATTTTCCAATTCCTTTCGTCGTGTTTCGAACGAATCTAGCACTCATTTCCTTCACAAACGAAGCATGACTACGATATCGGCCTCGTTAGCGGAGGAGGGCATGATAAATGTCAGAAAATTTGGGGGCTAATTTCGAGATATATCGGTAGAACATTAGTAAGCATAGTATATTAACACATTTCCGGGTTGTATAGGGGTCTTCGCCCCCCCCCCCATCCCCGCTGGATACAAAATCTTCACCTCGAATGTTCCGGCAGGAGAGAGCACAGACCCAGGGACAGTTTTAACCTTTTACCTTCAGCCTTAACTCCAGACGGGCCAGGCTGCGGGTCACTGGGATCGTCGGGGTCATCCAGGCCGTTGTTGGCGGGAATTGCGACCGCTTACAGTAAATTTACACTACTTTCTTCTTTTTATTTTTGGGACCGTTTTCCATGAACTACAAACCACTGGTGTCTGTCATTTCTGTAATGACACGATGTCATACAGTGCGGGCATTGTACTTCCACTGGCAGTACACCGTGATCTCGTAGATTTAGTAAGCTGGCTTCGTTATTTTGGTGATATTTCGCGATGAAATCGAAGTAATTGTTCTCACAACCTACGCACTGTCTAGCCACGATGGAACTGATTTGAATTTTAACTGCCTTCTCCTAGGCCCAGCTTCTATTGTCACGTGATGATCTGTTCCATATCTGATTAGTTCTATTGAGTGTCTATGTTCACGTCACGTTCACGCACGAATCTAATTGGCTCATTTGATTTCACGCGCATACGTCATCCGCTACGAATCCGTCCGATTTCCCGTCGCTCTTAACGACTTTTTTGTCATTTTGTCGCGGCGGTGGAGGCGTTAGCTTACTGCGGCTCCTGGAAATCGTGTATTTTATACCCTTTATAAATTAAGAGAGAGAGAGAGAGAGAGAGAGAGAGAGAGAGAGAGAGAGAGAGAGAGAGAGAGAGAGAGAGAGAGAGAGAGAGTAAACAGATAGATAGATAGATAGATAGATTAGAATGAGAGAGAGAGAGAGAGAGAGAGAGAGAGAGAGGAGAGAGAGAGAGAGAGAGAGAGTAAACAGATAGATAGATAGATAGAGAGAGAGAGAGAGAGAGAGAGAGAGAGAGAGAGAGAGAGAGAGAGAGAGAGAGAGAGAGAGGAGGAGAGGAGAGATAGAGAGTAAAACAGATAGAAAGATAGATAGATGAGAGAGAGAGAGAGAGAGAGAGAGAGAGGGAGAGAGAGAGAGAGAGAGAGAGAGAGAGAGAGAGAGGAGACGGAAGAGAGAATGAGAGGAGTAGAGAGGAGAGTAAACAGAGAATAGAAGAGATAGGAGAGAGAGAGAGAGAGAGAGAGAGAGAGAGAGAGAGAGGAGAGAGAGAGAGAGAGAGAGAGAGGAGAGAGAGAGAGAGAGCAAACAGAGATAGAGAGAGAGAGAGAGAGAGAGAGAGAGAGAGAGAGAGAGAAGAGAGAGAGAGAGAGAGAGAGAGAGAGAGAGAGAGAGAGAGAGAGAGAGAGACAGACTAATTACAAAAAAGTACAAAAGGTATATTTAGGTGTGGGGTTGCATTTCCAATAATACCATCACGGTGGTCTTTTTTTGTATTGCTTAGGTTACCCCTATAAATCGGTTTTCTGTCAATACTCGTTCTCTTTACCCTTTTAACGATATACTTATATATATTTCTTAAATATTTTTGTAACTGAAACGATTGTCTTTTCTTGTAAGTAAGTCAATTAGTAACCAATAATATTCATACGCTATACTTAGGAAGGTTTCGATGTTCATTTGCAGCCACAGAATGCTTCAGATACGTACAAAGGCAGTAACATGATATCAAACACAACCGTAAATGTGTTTTGATTTTGTGTCTTATCATCGTTATCTTGTTTTGTGTTTGCCCTATTTCTTTACACTCGACTTAAAGGGTGGACACGAAATACTATCCTCCTACACACTACACAAACCACATCACGCAAATTAACCTCCCCGCCCAACACACACAAAAAACATTTTGGCGGCATGCGTGACAAGCATGCACTGTTCATAGCAA